GAGCCTCACCGACCACAAGACAGCATAAATCTTGCCACCTTCCAATAGTTTTGATGTAGGAATTTGACCCATCTCGACCGGCTCTACAAAACTACGATCCAACAGAATACGAGAAAATTGTAGCCACTCCCTCGTGCAGGGCACCGACGCAGCCGATGCGCCTCGGTGGACGTCCTTCCTATAGTCAAATCCGGGGTAACAGGTGGCTAGCAACATTTTTCGCCAAGCAGCGTGACTCGAGACCACCAACGGATATTCACTGGAGTTCCACGGAGAGGCCACCTGTTACATCCAAAATACCCAAATCTCGCCCTGGGGCTGCTCCTGCTTCGATCCCCATGGGGGTCCGCGAAAATACGAGGAATGACTAAAAAACGGCAATCAGCCCACCGAGATTCCGTCACCGCCGTTGCCCATCCACGCCCTAAATGCACCAAGCCATGACTAGCCTACTTTTTGTTTTTTTACCAATAAACTTAGTCAAACCCGAACGGGCCGATGGTATGCCTCCCTAGTCCCAATGCAGAAACTGGCCAGGTTTGCAACCGCGCTGTCTCACCGCAATCCCCAGACTCCCATGTACAGTTACTATTTTTTGCACCCACTGCCGCCGCCTCCCTATCCTTGCGCCCAGGAATGGTAAGGCCAACTTTTGCAAAATGCCGGTTCCGCTGCTTATTGTACCCCAGAGTGTCCTGCCTGTGGTCATTGTTCTTTTTGGTGTCCGGCTTCGGACCTGTCTCCGTGCCGCCCTGCCGATCTGATCGCCCAGTTTCTGTTTTGTTTGAGGTGTCCACTCTAAACCTTTTTGACCTGCTGCGTTTTCACATCTTTGGTTTTCCGATAAGCTAGGTGTGCGTCGAGAGGCTTTTATTTTTTAATTTCAGGCGGCTGCGAACTTTTTTTTTTTTTTTTTTCCTTCAGGCCAGCCCAAATCCGCATAAATGTATTGTCCACGCCTGATTGTCTTTAGCTTTTTCTAAAACTGATCAATGCGGTTTTTTCTTTAATTCAGCATTCCCACGCCATAACGTGTTGTCAGGCGCTACCTGCACTGCCTGCAACAGCCCTGAAACGGCTCCTGAAACGGACTCGCAGCCTCTTTTGGCCCACTCAGGGGTGCCCATTCTCTTTCTGGTAAAAGCCTCCTCCACTCTATGATCTCAGTGTGCCCCATCCTTCACTTGCCTAACAGCCTCTCCCTTCCCGCCTACAACCCAATTTTTCATGTTTTATGTCCTTTCCAAAGCTTGTCTGACGTAGCGTGTCGGGCTTCAAGTCTTGGCTGGCTCGTGGAAATGCCATTGTTGTTGGTTGGCACGGCACCTCTGATAGGGTCGTTCGATCTATACAATTTTAGAGCAAAGCCACATCCTTTTTCCTTCCCTTCTGGGAAAAACTCATGGCTGTGGATACTCACATCTGCCCCTATTTCCTTTTGTTCAATCTACCGTGGCCAAGACACTATGGTGGATGATTTTCATTCTCTCCGGGTTTGTTGGGCCTCGAAACACAAAGTACCTTCCCAGGGCTCGTACACAAAGCTTGCTCTGCGGGCCTATTATCGAACGAAGCGCTCGAGGCACGCGCCTTAAGCCCGCCAGGTTCAACAAGCTGTTTTCTCTCTTTTGGTCAATGCCTTCATTATCTCTGTAAGGTGGCTTTTTGTGCTCTATCTTTGATCGGTTGTGCATCAAGTGTATACCAGAGAAAACTGCTTCCATCCAGTTAATTTCCCAATTTTTGAATTATAGCGATCTTATATTTTGTTATCAACGGGGTCTCAAATGGTCCTATTGAGCTAGGCACATCTCCAGTTGACGCATTGAGGGGCTCCACCGCCAAGCTTGGCCTCCAATGTTCAACTATGCACCTAGAGAACTTTTTTTGCACCTTGCGCTTCAATTCATTGTACTGCATATAGTGAGCTTTTGTGCTCTTATACTATCGGACCCACCTTGGTATATCACAAGGGGCACGTGGTCTAGTGGTATGATTCTCGCTTAGGGTGCGGGCGGTCCTGGGTTCGATTCCCAGCTTGCCCCTTCTTTTTTGCAACCAGAGAAATATCGGATTCGTTGGAACGCTACATTCATCCTATTCATGAATTGTTCTTTTTTTGTTCCATAAATAGCGGCTTCGTTCGTATATACATGTCTATGGAAGCCCCGTATGACCCATATCATTCCTCCTTCTTCGTTTCAGCGTACGCTCTCGCTGCTTTCAAGATATCTTTCTTGATCTTGTAGCCGTGTTCATCAGCATTTGGAAATACTCCCTCTGACACATCTTTCTTGTATTGTGATACAGCCTCGGTGGCATTATCAAAAAAGCTCATGTACAGCTTGACAAACTTCGCAAGCTTGTACTTCTCTGGATCATTCATCTGAAGCATATCGGCAAGTACCAATACCTGGCCCGAAACATGGGGACCGGCGCCAATGCCAACCGTAGGGATTTTCACCGTCTGTGTGACCACCTCGGCCAACTTGCTTGGGATACATTCCAAGATCATCGAAAACGCTCCAGCTTCTTGTAACGCCAAAGCATCGTCAATTAGCTTTTGGGCGCCTTCAACGCTGTTTCCTTGCAATTTGTAGCCACCCAAAGTATGATGTTTTTGAGGGGTCAAGCCAATGTGGCCCATGACAGGCACACCAGCGGTCACAATTGCCTTTATGGTGTCGGCCATTTCCTGACCGCCTTCGAGCTTAACAGCCTGTGCCTTCCCATGCTTCACAATTTTGATAGCAGTCTCGACTGCCTGTTTTGTAGATACCTCGTAAGTACCAAAAGGCATGTCTGCCACTATAAACGAGGAGGCATTACCCCGGTTCACTGCTCGTATATGGTACAACATCTCGTCAAGCTCAATCTCGTTTGTGTCAGGGTACCCAAGGGCAACCATGGCCAAAGAATCCCCCACCAAGGCAATGTCAGCTTGACTCTTTTCGACAATCTGGCCTGTGAGAAAGTCCCATGCTGTTACAACGCTGATAGGAGCCTTGGCCTCGTATTGACTTCTTAGGTCAGTAAGCGTTTTGCGTGGGGCAGCCACGTATGACGACCGGTACGTCGGCGACATGGAAAATCGGCGAGCCGCCTGGACGGATCTTCTCAAGAACATGGGTTTAAAGAAGAGTCGGTACTTTCAAGCCGAGCATACTACAGTTTTTCACTGCGCGAGGTTCCCCACGAAGATACACCATGGCATATGCTGATGAAGAACAAAGACGAAGGGATGAGAAGAGATTCCATCAGATCTTCAAGATAGCCGCTGGTGATTGGGGACCTTAGCTTCCTAGTATCCCTTTCTGAAGATTTTTCACGTGACTGTTGATGAACTTAAATCTGACGTCAGCGTCCATGTATCCTTCAAATCCACCCTCTCTGCAATGTTGGCACCAAGCCGTTTTGTCCTACCGCTCTTGATGCCTAATTTGTCTATCTCTTCTAGCCGAGCAGCATTTCCAAAATTTGTGCCTCGGTGGTGTGCACCTGCTTATCGCTCCGCTTACAAATCTGTCAGCGCAACCCACACGAAAGCTTTCTCAACTACATCCAAAATGGTGCAAATCGATGATTCCTATGTGATGAACCACACATGTATCCGTATCAAGGATCCGAAAGTCTCGGTGCCTTTTTACGAGCGCAACTTTGGCATGAAGCTTCTCCAGAAGTTCGCCTTTGACAGCTTCACCTTGTACATGTTGGCTATCGATGACGGCTCGAACGCCAATTGGGCGGCTAGAGAGGGTGTTTTGGAGTTGACTCACAACCATGGTACCGAAAATGACCTGGATTTCACTGTCAACAATGGCAATGGTGAGAAAGACAGAGGGTTTGGTCACATCTGTTTCTCTGTCGACAACATCGAAGCCGCTCAGACGAGATTATTGGGTGATGATGTTCGTTTCCAGAAGAAATTAACTGATGGAAGACAAAAAAATATTGCTTTTGCGTTGGATCCAGATGGATACTGGATTGAGCTCATTGAGCATGGAAAGGACAAGAAAGAAGGCGCCACTGATCCCACTTCCTACAGACTCAACCACTCTATGATTAGAGTGAAGGATGCTAACAAGTCTCTTGAATTCTACAGAAAAGCACTTGGAATGAAACTTTTCAATAAAAAGGAATTTGAAGCTGCCAAATTCTCCTTGTACTTTTTGGGCTACGACCACGGATCAACCATTCCAGAAGGTGAAGAGCCCCCTGCTAAGCAGGCTCTTCAGCAAGGCATCCTTGAGCTTACTCACAATTGGGGTACTGAGAACGATCCTGAATTCAAAGGATACCACAATGGTAACTCTACAGAGAACGGCGCCAAACAGGGATATGGACACATTTGTGTCGCCTGTAAGGACCCTGCGGCCTTCTGCAAGAACATTGAAAATGAGTTTGGAGACTCTGTCCAATGGCTGGTGAAATGGAACCAGGGTAAAATGAAGAACTTGGCCTTCATCAGAGACCCCGACGGATACTCAATTGAAATCATTCCCCTGGATATGTTTGGTGACAACTAGGAACCCGGGCGATTGAAAGCCCGTATTTAGGGTCGGTGTAGTCGGTGACCGACCGAATAGGTCTTCATTGGCTAGGTCGGGCCCGCTGTGAGTGGATGTCTAATATGGTATGAACAATCCGTCTACACATAAAGCGAAAATATAATTAAAACAGTACAAGAGTAACGCTATTACGATTGGTGTTGGCAAATATCAGTGTTCTATTACCGTTCACTCTGTGTAGTCTATGACGTAAGCTTCGAGCACCGCCACAAATCTTCGATATTACTTGCAACCAAGACTGAAAACAATTTTAATTGACTTAATGTATCGAAGACACCTCCCGAAGATAAAATCACATCAATGACGGGCATTGTTAACCTTTCCCGGTCGTGCGGTCTTCAGTGTATAGGATAAGCAACGGTGCGATCCAACCACGCTCAATTCTTGCTAATGCTCAGCTCCTTCAAACGCTTCTTCTTTGCCACACCCAGAATGGTTTCCGACGCCACCAAGACCAAAGTCAACAACTTGATCAAAGAGCACCCTGTGGTGATCTTTTCAAAGGACTACTGCCCATACTGCTCCAAGACCAAGAGCACTATTTCCGCTCTCACCGACCTGGCCTACATTTTGGAGATCAACACCATCCCTGACGGCGCCGAGATCCAGGACTACTTGTACGAGATTTCTCAGCAGAGAACTGTCCCCAATGTGTACATCAACGGCCAGCACGTTGGTGGCAACTCGGATGTTCAGGAGTTGAAGTCCCAAGGTAAATTGGACGGCTTGCTTAAGGCTGCCCTTTAAACGAATATAGAATCTATACTTCCATATGAATACTTGTAGATGCTGAAATTTGGAACGATTGGGAAGCGAACATCATGTTGGACTCTTCGAGCAAACGCCACCGTAAAACTGTGGAGCTCAATGGTTCGAAAGGCAGTTTTATTCGGACCAATCATCTGTCATCATGTAGCATACTCTTCGATTGTGGGATCCTGAAATCGTGCTGACCTTGTGGCTGCTATGGACCCTCACTGCTCGGTTCAGCAGACTCATGTGGACACCACAATCGAAGAAGATGCTCCAACGGTTCATTAAGGGCGAAACTCAGGTTCCCCTTATTGAGCCAAATCAGTTTCGAAAAGACATCTATGAAAAATCAAATGGCAAACTTTATTTTTAGCGGCGCATCTAGAGCCTGATGTAGTTCCTGGAAACCCGGCATTGAGATATCCATGTTCAAACTCAAAATTTTATGAAATCATTTCACAGTTCCAGAAAACAGCAACACCGGGCTTTTTTATACCTCCGGCCATTTCAAGAAAAAAAATTCTACGATGGCCCCACATAGCTCGTGTTCGGTTACCCCATACTAGTCCCGGACTATATTGCCCAGCGCGGCTTCACTTATTCGTTTGCCGTGCAGTATAGAAACCGATTGCCGACCAGCCATAGAATATCTACTTCACCTGCTTTCCATTCTGTGTTTCTGTTCTTAATGGTCTGCGTCAGGCTTCGGCACGAATTGCCCAGACGCTTCTCCACATCAGTCACCTTCACTTCAATCGACAGAACGCAGTTCCCTATTCGTCTGTCCAAGGACCTCAAACCCAATGCCAAGTGCAAGCTCAGGGTTCCCTTGATGAAGTCGCCGTCCCATTTGGGACATTACTCATCCCGTATGAATAGAAGATACAACGAGGACAGGTACAGTGCGTGTGTGTTGGACTTGAAAGGCAGGACCACGTTCAATTTCAACATCTTCGATGGCCATGGTGGTGATCAGTGCCTGACTTACTTACTGGAACATTTAGGGAAGGTGGTTGAGGAGTCTTCACTGTTGTGTGCGGAGGATGATGCTTCAAGAGAGGGACTCATCAAACAGTATGCTAAGAACATTGGTGGTTACTGGCGCAGATGGTATAAGCAGCGAAAACAAAACTTCGAAAAATGGGCGGCAGTGCCGATCCAGGTTAACAAATTGAGCAAATTAGGAGATGTTCTGGATGATCTCCTGCTCAGGTTACCCCTCTCCTTCTTGCAAACCGACTACGACTTCTTCAATGAAAAAGACAATAAACTGGGCTCAACTTGCACCTCTGTTTACATGGAAACGCTCCACTCAGAGCTTCATGGAGAATTTCAGCCTGTATTTGAAAGTTACTATTTTAACAGAGGTACCGTCAACAAATTGACTGTGGCCCATGTGGGCGATACCAAAGCGATCATGGTTGATAAGAACGGAGATGCTCATCCCTTGACCATTCCTCACCATCCGCTGAACCCTACAGAGTCATCCAGATTAAGACGGTACTCGGCGAATTACTTCATGACAGATTCGTTCGGCGAGGAGCGCTTTATCTCGTTAGCAAACACTAGAGCCTTCGGCGATCTCAACTACAAAGAGGTGGGTGTGACCGCCGAGCCAGAGGTATCCCAGTACATTTTTGGGGATAGCAGTACTATCTCAGACAAATTGACCCCGCAAGAGATAAAGGACCACACCGTCGGCGGGCTTGGCGGGGATGAGTCCTTCTTGGTACTTTGCACAGATGGCATTACCAACGAGATCACCGACCAAGAGGTCGCTGACATCGTCATGACAAACTTCAACATGCGAGGCCACCAGGCTGCTACTCCTCAGGTGTGCGCTGAGGAGGTTGTCAAATTCGTAGAGTACATTGGTGGTGATGACAACGCTACATGTCTTGTCATTCGCATGAGCGGCTGGGGCCACTGGCCTGTGATAGATAGAACAGGTCAGCTTAGGCAAGAGCGTTTGAGTGCCTACTCGCCTCGTGAACGTGGCTCTGGTTAATCTACATAATAATGCATTGCAACTTCGTGATTCTATATGTACAAGTAGTGTGCCCTAATTCTTGGTGTATTTGTAGGAGAAGGGCTTTCTCGTTCTGGCAAACTCACCGAGTTTGTTTCCGACCATTTCATCGGTCACCTCGAACTGGATATATTCCTTACCGTTGTGGACCTGGAACTTCAATCCAACGAACTGAGGCAATATCGTGCAAGATCTGGCGTTGGTTCTGATAGGAGCGCCTGTTTTCAAAGCGTTAGCGATGGGCAAAGGCACCACGCTGGGACCTTTCCATGCTGATCTGCCTTTGAGCAATATCCTGGCAGCTTTCATTATGGATCTTGAGGAGCTCAGATATGGAGCCTTTTGCACTGGCGAAAAAATAGAGTAGTCGCGCACGTGATCTCCCAGCGTTTTTTCCACTCCTACAGACCCCAGTATATCGCGAGAGGCATCGCGAGCAGGCATCTCTAGATCTATATGTTCGCCCAGCGATTCGACCCCAACCTGGTGGGGCAGGAGTTGTCGAAACCACAGATTCCTATCAAGAAAAGAAAGCTCAGTCAGACATCCATTGATGAAGAGGCCACAAATGAAAAATCAGATACAGAAAGCCTGAGTTCAGATAGCGAGAGCACTAGCGATAGTGATAGTGACGGTGAAAGTGAAAGCTCATCGAGTGAAAGTGAGGAGGAAACTTCTGATAAACAAGAGGCTGATGTTAAACCAGCGGTTGAGCCGAAAGATAGTATGGAGGTTGACGATCCTATTGAGCCTAGAGAGGCCGACCCAGATTATCTCAAGAAGCATGCTTCTGTGTTTCTGAAGTTCAAGTCGGTACAGTCTAATGATGTTGATATGGACGCCGACAAGCCCAGTGACGAGGAAGTCGAGAAACAGGATTTAGCTCCACTTCCACAGCCAGAACTTCCTCGAGACGTGACTCTTCGATCTACTCAGGCGCATCTGAAAACCCTTGATTGGCTAGCGAAGCCAGTCTATGCATCTCCTGAGCAAACCTCTCCGTTCAGTGACTTTAGCATCTCGTCCAATTTACAGAGCAATATTGAGGCCATGGGCTTCAAAGAAGCCTTCTCCGTTCAGGTCTCAGTCTTCAAAATGCTACTAGAGGACATTACAAAAAACAAACTCAGTCCAGATTTCAGAGGAGATATTTTGGTAAACGCATCCACTGGTTCTGGTAAAACCCTTGCATATTGTGTTCCCATCATTGAAGCTTTGCATACGAGAATTGTCCCTAGAGTAAGGGCGGTTATTCTCGTCCCCACAAGACCATTGATTCAACAGGTAACCCAAACCCTTATAGAGTTGAGCAAAGGTACAAAACTTAATGTGGTCAGCTTGTCTAGTGACATGTCCATAAAAGATGAGGGTCACAAAATTTCCACTAATGTCCCGGATGTAATTGTATCAACGCCGGGTAGATTGGTGGAACATATTCTTAATGGTTCGGTCACTTTTGAGGCGTTAAGATTCTTGGTTATTGATGAGGCCGATAGATTGCTTAATCAATCTTTCCAGAATTGGAGTGAAATCTTGATCGACAGCATTGAAAAACATAGAGATTCCGCGAGGAACGTTGGTAACACATGGGAACTTCAAACGCAAAAACTAGTTTTCTCGGCTACTTTAACCACCGATGCTGGCAAGTTGTCGCTGCTAAAGTTCAGAAAACCTCGACTTATTGTTGTCAATTCGAAGGAGCAGCTCGTGAACGAGATGTTCTCTGTTCCAACAACATTGACGGAGAGCAAGATCTTATTCGCATCTAGTGAGTCTGCCTACAAGCCTCTTTTGCTTACAAAACTCATGATTCAGTCTGAAAAGCTTTCCAACGTTTTGATCTTCTCAAGATCTAACGATTCCACCCTTCGTTTAGCGAAGGTCCTCGAAGCACTTTTCAAAAGATTCTACCCCTCTGCTCCCATTACTGTCGCCTACATGAATTCGACTAATAATCTTTCATCCGTGAGAAATAGAGTCTTCAAAGATTTTGGGAACGGTGAGATTAACATTTTGGTTGCGACCGATTTGATCGCTAGAGGTTTGGATATCTTATCCATCAAGGACGTCATTAATTACGACTTGCCAGTATCGTCTCGTGAGTATGTGCATAGAGTTGGTCGTACCGCAAGAGCTAATAAGCGAGGAGAGGCACTTTCCTTGGTATTTGGCAGAGGTGAAAACCAATGGTTCAACAGCCTTATGGCTGACGTTGGTAGAAACCAGCCAGTCGAAGAGCTTTATCCCAAGGCAATTGATCTTTATCTTGACGATCATGAGAAACAGCAGTTCGAAGATATTTTAACGAAGCTCACTTAGTGATGGTTCCTGTCCCATGGGTTCGTATCAATTTGGCCAAGATATTAATTAATTAATGTTTGTATATGAATTAAGTAATGAATAGTGTGGTTATAATTTCACTTTTGTGTCAAATAAAAGCCAAAATCATGGTCTGTGGATTTTTTTGTTGGCATTCGCCATTTGCAACTTACAGTCTTGGCTGCGAAATATCTAGAAACCTAGTGTGCGCTTGGACCATCAACACCTCACCACATACAAAATGCAGAATAAAACCTATTCGAAATACCTCGAGAAAAACATGCTTACCAAGACAAATAAAAGCATGATTAAAAGTGGAGCGAAGGGTTCTGCTGTGCGAGAGGAGAGTATTTGAAACCCCGACAGAGGCAGCTACGTCTCATAAACATCTAGTTTTCTTTAATGCATACGATAGCAAAATCAAGAATTGTACGGGTAAGGCTAACCATCTCATGTATGCCCAGCCAAAAAGCGGCTAAGTTGGAAGCGTAGATTAGGTATGAGAACGGTAGTTAAGAAATTCTCAACATAGTCTTGGCAGAGTCTTAGGACTACAATGAAAATTGCAAAGTGTGGCTGCATATGACAGGATGCAACAGTCAGTGTAGAGAGTGATATCTGGAAGGAATAACTGAAGTTTTGTCGATATTTTGGGTCGGAATGCTTTAATAGTATGTGCACTTACATCACACTGTACAAGAAACACCATCGCCATGTTCATATGGTGTGGCACGACTAACATGCACGACTTTGCTACTGTGGTAACTCGCTGACGCAATCTCATTCAGATTTTCGAAAGGTATTGCAACCATTTTCTTTGGTACTCGCCTACAACGGCAGCCATCTTTTGTAAGGTTGCCACCAGGAAGGAATGCCAATGCTATATAAAAGATAAGTAAAATCCAGCTTGTAGGTGCTTTCGACACAAAAGTTTCAATGGGGCTATTAAGACTGGAGAAAGAGTCTGAAAAAGACCAGAAAGCTGAAACGCTGGTTGATTTCAGCCTGGTTAAGTCGAGAAGCTCGACTGACAAAGATAACTCTAGTGTCGAGAAATCACAGTCTTCAGAATTGGTCGATTCAAAAAGAGACTCCTCTGATTCAAGGTCTTCTGATATTGAATCGCAGGATAACGGAACCGGACCAAACCCATTCAAGGATCCTTTTTTGGCGGACCACTACAGTCGAATGTATGAAGAAGCTAAATACGAATGTCGTGCAGCTTTTGACCCACATTTGGAATGGACCCCAAAGGAGGATAAGAAGTTAATGAGGAAAGTTGACAGAAGAGTCATTTTCAGTGCATGTATTATGTTCGTTGCATTACAGATGATTAGAGGTAATTTAGCAGAAGCCACAGCTGATGATCTCCTTTCAGACATGAACTTGGATACAAATCACTACAATGTTGGTAATACAGTATACTTGATCTCGTTTTTGCTAGCTGAGGTTCCCTCGCAAATGATTTCCAAGGCACTTGGACCAGATATCTTCATTCCGATCCAAATTTGCGTGTGGTCGATAGTTTCCATGTGCCAGGGTGCAATGCATAACAATGCTGGCTTTTTGGCTTGCAGAGCCATTATTGGTGCCTTCCAGGGTGGATTTATCGCCGACATGGTCTTGTGGCTCTCGTACTTCTACAAATCAGGTGAATTACCACTTCGTCTTTCATGGTTTTGGGCTGCAACTGCAATTTCGAAAACCTTAACTTCGCTTTTGGCATTCGTCATTTTGAGAATGAGAGGAATAGGTGGTTTGACTGGCTGGCAATGGCTTTTCATTATCGAGGGTGGCATCAGTTTGGTCATTGGTATCTGGTCCTTCTACCTCATGGTTCCCTCAGCTGTCCAAACAAAGAACAAAATGCACCCCAAGGGCTGGTTTAGTGAAAGAGAAGAAAAGATTGTTGTGAACAGAATTCTTAGAGATGATCCTTCAAAGGGTGGAATGCATAACAGACAAGCTTTGTCACTCAAGATGATTTTGGAAGCATTGTGGGATTACAATTTGTGGCCGGTCTACATGATTGGTATCCTCGCTTTCATTCCTCTTAACACGGTCTCACCATACATGGTTTTGGCCATGAGAAATCTTGGATTCAGCACATTCGATGTGAATTTGTTGACCATTCCGCTGCATATTCTCCAGATTGTTGGTCTCTTCTTCGTAACATGGCTTTCGGAGAAGATTAATGAAAGAGCACTTTTATGTCTTTCTATGCCTTTGTTCAGTATACCATTTTTAGCTGCAATGAGATGGTGGAGTGGCACAATGCAAGACGCATGGGTGACATGGTTTTTGGTGACCATGGTATTGTCGGCTCCATATATTCATGCAATTTGTGTTGCTTGGGTGTCAAGAAATTCCAATTCTATTCAATCCCGTTCAATTTGTTCGGCCCTTTACAACATGTCTGTGCAAGTGGGCAGAATTGCCGCCTTCAATATCTACAGAGAAGACGATTTACCGATCTACAGAAGAGGAAACATGCAGCTTACCTTTATTATGGTTGGTTTGATACCAATAATTTTGTTGACTAAATGTTACTATGTTTGGAGGAATAAGGTAAAGGAGAGAAAGTGGAGTGCAATGACTGTTGAAGAGCAACAGCAGTACATAACTGAGACAAAGGATGTGGGAAACAAACGTCTTGATTTCCGATTTGATCATTAAAGTAATTTATTTATAGATATTGTCAAATAAAGTTTTTATTTATTCTAGAAGGGCATCTTAAATTTGGTTAATCTTTCAAATTTTCACGAGAGTTTTTCGCGGGATACACGCGGAAAATGGCCAAAATAAGCTTATCAGTGCATGTAGAATGATTTGAAAAAGGTATTAAAGATAAGAGACTCAATAATTATTGGCTTTTTATCTGTTCATTTAAATGATATATTAAAGCGGCACTTTTACTTTACAACAAGAAGCCTGGTTAGCTCAATCGGTAGAGCATTTGACTCTTAATCTTCTAAGGTCAATCAAAAGGTTGCGGGTTCGAGCCCCGCATCGGGCTTTCTTTTTATTTTTTTATGTTTATAACGCCTTGAAAAGCTTCCAACAGCGGTCTACAAAGAGCTAGTTACCCAGAATCATGATTTATTCAAAGTCTTTGCCAAAAAACGCCAATAACCCCACCAAATGATCGTCGCTATATACATACACCAACCTCGCCTTTCCTCTTTTGCCAAACATCTCATGAGTAATCTCACTTATTTGGTCAAGGTTCAGAGATCTTGGGAGGAATAAACCAAAGTTGTCAGCAAACTTTTGAAGACTAAGGCAGATATCTCTCAATGAGAACGGTTCCATCGCGTCGAGATCGAAACTTTTATTGTTGTAGCTTGGCCCACCCCACGGCGGGGAGCAAAATGCAAAATGAAACCTTTTTCTTTTCAATGGTATCCAATCATTCTTTTTTTTGAGTGTACTCCAGTCCCCTTGTATGAATTCGGTGTTATCAGATACTCCATACACCAGTGCATTCTGTACGCAACATGTTATGTTGCATCGATTTATGTCAATGCCAACGGCCTTCTTGCAGACCTTTGCAAATTGTATTGTATTTCCTCCTCCACCGCAACATACATCCAAAACATATCTGCATCGTTTTAGTCTTTTCTGGACGTAGTGTGCGGTGAACCTAGCCACCAATTCTGGTGTGACAGAGTACCAGAGCTCGGAGGTTAGGTAAATGCCCTCGTCAAATTTCAGAAAGAGCTGATATCTCTTACGCCAGTACTTTTTGCAATTATCAGGAAGGGTATGATAATTGTGCATGAGAAGCTCATCTTCTTCGTTGACCTCGATATCTGAGCTCATGTAGTTGATCTTAGTGTGCGCGATGAGCGTCCCATTACTTGATAAGATTGATCTTATTACATTATTAGTACACCTATTGATAAGCAAACAAACCCAATACCCTAAACCTTGTAAATCTTGTCCTCAACTTGCATGATGATATTCTCGTCTTGCATTTTGTTGAAGGCATTTTCCATCTCATCAGCACTGAAAACCTCCTCTTGCTGCAAGTCCTCGTTGATCTCCTGGATCACAGTCTCTTTGGCGCAACATCCCTCGCTATTGGCAAAGAGATCCGTGTTGATGATACGAGACATAACCTCCAAAAACTTTGCGTATCTCTCGTTACTAATGCCAACAAGCTGCTCTGCAATATTTTGCTCGAAAGCATTGGAGTTTTCAGACAATGGAGGCGCCTGGCCTCTAGAGAGATTCATGTTTCTCATCTCCTCTTCCACGCCAGCAGCTAGTGGCGGAGATGGTTCGGGTGTAGTTTGCTGTGGGTCGTATTCTCTGATTGGTTCCTCTGGTGACAAAGATGGAATATCATCTGCAAGGTTGCCTCCGCTAGCATTTTGAACGGCTGCACTTGTGACATCCTCATTGACATCGTCCTCCTCCAGGTCTGCATCCAATTCACTGTATCTTGGCTCTGCTCTTCTCCTCTTTGTGGGTTTCTTTTTGTTCGACTCTCTGAAGAGAGAGTAACGAAGAAGCTCTTCAGCAACCTTGGCATCCTTGATGTCAATAGACTTGGACAAGCGTAATTTGGCGTGAGCTGTAGAAAGACGGATAAGTGTCTCCAAGGTTCTGGCAGTTACTGGAGCAGTTCTTCTGTGAATATCGGTGTCGCTGTTTCTCAAGTCCTTGTAAACCGAAACGATGTACAGCGAAGCTCTTTCTGTCAATCTTGGCTTTATTCTCTGCTTCGCGTACTGGACGTATTTCTTCAAGAATGGAATCGATAAAATTGTAGGACTTTGGCCACCGGCACCGCTTCTAGCCACACCGGCGTGTAGGAGAGAATTGAACTTCTCGAAAATGGGTTGTTCAATGGATTCATCGACCAGATCATCTCCGGCAGCTAAAGATACGACACTGCGTTCCCTGACAGGCTCTCCTTCGGCCAAACCAGCCGATATGAATCTATGCATTCTTAAGACATGCTCAGAAACGGTTCTATCCTTCACTTGATTGACATCGTCTGTGACAATGAAGAGCAAATCGAAACGAGACAAAAGAGAGTCCGGTAAAGCAATGTTCTTGTGAGGATCCTTGTGGACGTCATACTGACCAAAGACCGGGTTTGCAGCCGCGATGACGGAACATCTGGCGTTAAGCGTTGTGTGGATACCTGCCTTGGCGATAGTCACCGTCTGTTGCTCCATAACTTCGTGAATTGCCACACGATCTGTGTCTGACATTTTGTCAAACTCATCGATACAAACAACACCTCTATCTGCTAGAACCATTGCACCGGCCTCCAAGCGTCTCTCACCTGTCTCCTTGTCAGATGTAACAGCAGCGGTCAAACCCACGCCAGAGGAGCCTCGACCAGTTGTGGCAATAGCCAAGGAAGCAGTGTTAAGAACAAATCTCAACATTTGTGATTTTGCGGTGGATGGGTCACCCACCATGAGGATGTTGATGTCACCTCTCAAGTGGGCACCGTTGCTCAAGTTCTTTTCACTACCACCGAACATCATGAGCAAGACTGCTTTTTTGATATAGTCAAGACCATAGATTGATGGAGCGAGTGAGTTTGACAAGATATCGAAAATGTTTTTGTCTTTTGCCATTTTATTGATGTCCCTAACATCTTGATCTGTGAGTTTTTCATGAGCGGCAACACCGGTAGACCTAGCATGAAGTGGGTAAACCGCATTGGCTAAAATAACGGTCCTGAAGGAGGAAGAGTTGTTGGAAGCACCACCCAAGGCTCTGTAGACACCAACAATCTGGACTCTGTCACCTGGCTTTGTTGTGTCCACTAAGTCATCATCAAGAACAATGTCAACGGATCTTGGTAACTGACCAGCTGGCGCAGATTCAGGCATTTCTTGAACAGATACTTTTTGGTGATCTCTGTATGTCGAAAAACCGTACTCGGGGGTCAATTTGTTTCCTTCTGGATCTTCCAATGGATAAACCGCGGGTGTGGAGATGGCATCGAAGGAAGTGGTGTTATCCTTGTAAGTCTTTGCGTAAAACCTTGCTGTCTTTTCGGCGTAGTGAACGGATCTGATCACCTTGGGTCTCACCAACGAAGCTCTGGTGACGATACCCTCAATGGAGACCATTTTAGAAAGGTAGTTGGAAGAAATCGTACGAGGCGTGACATGGTTGCCACCGAAAGCTCCCTTGAAAGCGATATAAAACTGTTGGTTGTCATCAAGCTCGTCGTATCTGTTGTCATTAGGGTCATAGATTGTCAAGACAGTGTCTCTCAACGCACGTTCACACGCTGGAAGATAGTCAACAGGCGTATCCAAAAGTCCCCTCCAGAATTCAACATCGAATTCACGAACTTCGTCAAGCAGCACTGACAATCTGAACTTGCCCTTCATGAGCATATCTTTAATGGCAGATCTGTGGTTGATACCATTCTCAGGGTTCTGATCCAAAAACTCTTGAAATCTTCTCACACGATCGCCGAATACGGCATCGATGGGTTGATCGATGGTGTCGTCCATCTTGATTAAAGAAAGTGGGTCAAAAGAAGAATTGGTGTATAGAGTTGTAGTGAGGAAAAATTAAATGCCTCCTGGAGCGCGTAATTAGTTTTCCCAATGAGGACTAATTTCGGCGCGAGAATTTCGCATACGCGTCTGCCCTGTGAGCTCGGTGGCGGAACAAACGCCTGACAACCAGGGATAGATAGTGAATTTATTGTTTTAACTGATTTCTCTTTACCTGAGTAAGAAAGCTATATCTCTATGAAACTACCTCGATTTCATAATGCTCAGTTTCACGAGACCCTCAGGTCAGTGTAATGGCCATACAATTTACGGCTTATAGTCGCTGTTACGCATTACTGTGAATTGGTAAAAAAAAAAAAAAAGACTGCAACACCTCAATTTCACATATGGTCTCCCACTATATTACTCACTGAGGCTCTTCACGGCTTGACGCTTGTTGATCGGACGGGAAACAGTATTTTCCGCAAGAATTGATCGCAGACGTTCCTAGTATGGATATGGCAAATATTGAGGCACAAGTCATAGATCACGTGTAAATGATCACGTGAACAATGGGTGACTTGACGAGAGACTAAGAGCAGACTCAAGGTCTGGTATCCATTAATGGAGTGTAATCCTTTGTTTGAAGTGTCCTGCTAACACAATCTATTAAGAAAAATAAGATAAACATAGGTTCGAGACGAACAATTCTACATCCACGTAGCTATGGCCAAGAGTCCCGGAGCACTATGCCAAGGTGCATTTTAACACATGAAGAGATCGGCGGTTATTAAGCTTAGTATAATACACAACTATAGCTCAGGCTTGACACCGACCGGCACACGAGATCCCTCAAACGAACCATAACACTTGGTAGTGCAAACCAACAGAATGAGTGCTGCAACAGAAGAAAAACGTCACCGAATCTTCCAGTTGGTATCGGGCATTACCCCGTACAACGGCTCCCGTAAACCTGAGGTAATCGACCAATATTTTGACGATGTCCAGGCCCTTTTCTACGTGTACAAGGACCCTGCCGACCAGAGATTAATTTTCAAACTCCTGATCGGCGGTGCAACCAGGACATGGTTGGACACACTTATGTCAAAACCGGAATGGCAACAGGCCTCCGGGCAAGACGTGCTCGACCAACTTAAACAGCACTACTACCCGCCTAACTACGCCCAATCAGCAATCCGTGAGCTAGCAAGGTTGAAGCGTGGTCATCATACAATCGCAGCTTACCTTGAGCGCTTCGAAGACTTGCTGCAAAAGATTCCCGAGGGTGCTCTCACTGACAGGATGCTTGGTCTCTTCCTCGCCGACGGTTGTGGCGAACCATACGCCTCCGACATTAGACGTATGGGACCCCAGACCTACGCCAAGATATCCGAGTATCTCGAATGCCAGACGATCACGGTCCTCGGTGAAGGATACGGAAACGTCCCAACAACATACTCTACTGGCGCCACAACTACTTAAAGTTGAAGTGCTCATAATGCTGCATAGTCAGCCGTAAATACAAGGAATGATCTTGTTCCCTTGTCTGCTAGTGTGAAAAATCATGAAGAGAATGCCAGAACAAATACTGCTAGAAAGATGGAGCATCGATGAGTGGACAAATCTTAGAGGTGAATTTAGGAAAAGATCAAGCTAGAAGAAATGTTTTGACGAAGGATGCTCGTTGCGATTAAATGCAATATGTATAGTGCTTATATAATTTGTATCATGAAACTTCTTTATATTACAATGAGTTGGCAGAACAGAAAAATGAGAATGATTTCCTCTATGCTTTTCGTAAATTTAGTCTATCATTTGAGTTCCCAACCCTCCATGAATGCATTCTCTTTACCAAACAACGATTCCCAGTCCTCGTACTCAAGAGCGGCCAAGCCTTTATACTTTCTCTTCTCCTCACTGTCAAGCAAAGACTTGTATGTCCAGTCCAAGAAATCCTCCATATTATAGTTAGGCTTCCTGAATGGTTCACTGAAGATTTTGGCTAGGGTTGCGATGTTGGGATGATAGTGGGTCTGAAGAGTCTCAAGCTCCCAAAGCGAGGACCCAATAGCACCAGTCTTTTGCGGGTTGGGCTCATCATTTTTAAAGGGATCTTTATAGTTCAGATTGTTTTTGCCATCTGGATTCTGCAACATGATCATGCATGATGGATGCCTTTTTAAAAGATTGTAGATGAATGGAAAGACAATAACCACACCCGGAGCTGACGACGACATTGCTAGGCGGGCAATTCTCTTTATGAAAGATGCGACTAAATTGGCACTCAAATGCGTGGAACTGAGAAAAAGATCAAGCAGTCTGAAAAATCTGGCTCTGTATCTTGTGTATAGAAGACTTGGAGTAAGCAAGGAGTATAGTTTGGTGAAGAACTCGGGGTACTCCAAATTCTCGCGCTTCATGAGCTCCCAAAGAGAGTTAATGACAAGAAGCGGCACAATTTCATCTTCTTCCTGATCGAGAGAATCAGTGAGGAAGTCCATCAAAGATGTGGGCGAGCTCATGTATGGGAGAATGCCGTAGTGCAAGCAATTGAGAAGCTTTTTGTACTGTTCTGCTGACAAGTCTGGCATTCTAACCCAGGCAAGAATACAACTTTGAAAATCTTGTTTGAAGGTTCTCATATAACTCTTGTCCATCTGTGGTGCTGTAGTGAAGTTGTGACCAGATCTCTCCCCATCTTCGAACATCACACCTTCCTGAATTATAGTGTAAAAATTTTCAAATATTCTGTCTTTCGTTGGACCCTCTAAGCTTTTCCATTCACCGAATTTCTTTGCCAAAGACTCGCGGAAGAAGTTTACTTGCAAGTCCTCGTGTTCAATGAAAATTGTGAAGAAGTTGTAAACCAAGTGATTCCTGTTCCCGACACCAACAGAGCTGGTGAGTAACGCGTGAACAAAGTCCTGGTATATATCCAAGGGGAATTCACGGTTGTATTCGGTGTATTGTTTGACAATCTCGAGGTAAGATTCCATGGCTGCCTTTTGGGTTCCTGTAGCATTTTCAGGAAGCCTACTGTTTATGAGCCAAAGAAGGTTTGCTCGGAACTTATCAAACTTTTCTGCGAGCCAAGCAGCGATGAGGTTCTTTTTCTCATCCTTGGTCTTTTTCATCGTACCGTGCAATAAGAACCACTCGAAGACCACTGAGAGGGACTCAATAAGAATGTTACAAACATAACGCGCTTCAGAGCTCGGACCTTGTGAAAGCAGTTTCTTAGCTAGTTCAAATTGATCTAGCAAAGGCACAAGATTGTTGAATTTGTTCTCGTCCCTGATATCCTGAGCCATCGCTTTAATAGTGTAGTGCTCTAGAAACTCCACATCTTTCAGAACCTCGACAGGTGCTTGGGGAGCATTCTTGGGCTTCTTTGCCACTGAACTAGCAGCTTTGGATGTTCTTTTCTTTGCCATTGGACCAGATCAGATGCTCATCGATCTAAGGTCAAGCGTAGTAGCCTGGATAGAGGGTAACGCGAAGAGATGTTTGTTACCCGGACTCGCACTATATAAGAGTGAGCATCCCCGGCCCCTAAGAAAAAGGCCATATGACCTTCCAAGTTTTATAAAATATGATGAAGTCTCGCGTGCTTGCTTACTATTCCCTCTGGGGTTGAGTCGTTTCCTTCGGGAGATGATTCCTCTGGAAATGTTGTCCGTACGGATGGCTGGGTTTTGATGGTGCCAGCGTTTGGCGCAACACACCTTGTTACAAATACAAACGCCTAGAGAGGTTCTGACCCTTGGAAGTCATTGAGTAGAAGTAGGTCACCCGAGTGTTTCGACTGGAAGGTTTTGGCCAATGTGACTGTAGTGAAGAGGTAGATACAGGCCCTTTGCTGGCCTAGCTAGTCCCATGTCCAACAGCTTTTTTGTGATGTCTTCCCTTGAGATATAGAGAGAAGTCATCGAGAAAGGTCAAACGGGCTGCATAAGTTGAACTCTTAACGATGTCGATAAGTCCAAAGTTGACTTATATTAACCCGGCTGTACTTTTAACTCTTTATTCAAACTCACTCACATTTTACGTTGTCTGTCCCAACAAACTCTACAACATTTACTCCTGATATACCTGGATTGAAGATTAGTTTATACAGCTTAGATGAAGGTCTCGTAAGGAACAGGGGCGAGCGTCTGAGGAACGTTCTCACCGATCTGGACAACCTTAGCCTCTCTTGGCTGAGCTGGCTTTCTCTTCAAGTCAACCTGCTCACCCTTGGCCTTGGCCTCTCTCTTCAAAGCAGCGTTAGCCTTGACTCTGTTCAAGAACTCAGTACGACAAGCAGAGTGCTTAACGTGCTCGATTCTCAAGTTGACCTTCTTCTCAATGTATCTGTTACCAACAACCTTGTTGATGATGACACCGACGGAGGACTTGGTGACGTTGAAAACGATACCAGTCTTACCGTGGTAGTACTTGTGTGGCATACCCTTCTGGATAGAACCGTTAGCCTTGATGTCAACAATGTCACCGACCTTGTAGACCTTCAAGTAGGTGGACAAGTGCTCAGTTCCGTGCTTCTTGAAGTCACGTTGGAACATGTAACGAGTACCAGATCTGTAACCGTGACTGGATGTTAGTAAAGGGTTTATGTTTGAGGTTTACCGACCCATAGATTGTCATAAATGTCTGAAATTTTAGGAAATCTGATGAAAATGGTAGCAATTTGTTGCAGTGATGTTTAGGGAGTAGGTAGTATTGCTAGTTTATGGTAGCATGGATAAAGATGGACCCAGGGGTGGAACTTCGATATTTCTAGCTGGAATTCAACATGGACTATGGAATGACATTATGATATTCAGGAAACTCATGGGATCGGGTAGCGATGGTTGTTGTTCAACATACGTGTGAGCCATTTTTAACTGTTATAGATTCTATCTAAGACGAAATCTCTCTTGGTTGAAGTTTTTTCGTGAGAAGGTGAGAGGAAAATTTTCGGCACTGCAGACAGGCCCCACTGTGGGCAGCCCTCAGTGTGCGTATAGTGTGTATGAGGTATCTCCATTGCACGTGCGAGCACATCTGAGAGGGCTGTAGCCCTAAGATCTGGCTCTAAGACAAAATGGTATATGACACTGAAGATATCCAGGCGACCTGAACGAATAAAAAACATGTCAGTCATGTATTAATGGGCATTTGTTTCATTAAGAGATTCTCTTCTAGAAAAATAAACTATGCAAAGTACCTCCTTACTGTGGTGTAGTGAACAGTATAGTGGTGCAGCCTCTCCTCACGGATCCCATTGAACCTAAAAACTATCTCTCGAGAAAATTGAGTAGTATCTGTCGAGGATGTTATGCAAATAGCTTGATCTGGGCTCCAAGACAAAGATGACATACAATTGGATTCTTTAACTCTGTGAAACTTGCCAAACTGAGGTCATTGGCGTGATCTACTTGAAACAAAGTACAGAATCATCTAGAACTGTCTCGTAAAAAGCAGATTCCTTTTGTAAATATTCTAAGTAAACTGTGTACGCTTATCTGTATTATGTCTCTATCTACTACATAGACCCCAGACTCATCGCGGGTCTCATCGCACCTAGCTGCAACCATGACGAAAACAAAGGTCTTGGTGCTACATCCCAACCCCAATAATCTCGATGATATAATAAAGAAGGCCAATCTACAACACCAGAAGAATGGGCCATTCGAGGCAGTCATTCTTCTCGGTATCAATGATATTACGCCGCCTGCAACAGTTCCATTGGTCCCCACATACTACTGCAGCACCACCAAGGAAGACAAAACCTTCACAGACAAATCAGACAACTTGGTGTGTGTTTCTGGAGATTATAGCTTGCTCAAGCTTGCTTCAGGGATCAAGGTTGGATTTCTCAGCCAATATGTCGAGGATGTTACTGATGAGGTTGACATACTCGTCTCCTTCCACTGGCCATTGGCTGTCGCTAGAACCCAAGGCTTATCGCTTATCAGCGACGAAAATGTCGACAAAACCGCTCTCAAACTCAAACCTCGGTACCACTTTGTTGTGGGTTCGGAAAAGGGACGATTTTACGAACATCCAGCTTTCTCATGGTCTGACACCAGGTCATGTCGTGTGATATCACTAGGGCAAGAGGGCTCCGGCAACAAGTGGTTCTACGCTTTCGGAATTAGCATGGAAGCAGACAGTACGCAATCTTCCGGCAAAAATCCTTACACTACTACAACCTCTACTATCGAGCAGACGAAAGTTATTGAGGAAGAGAAATTGCAACCACTCAAGCGCCAGCACGAGACAGAAGATGACGAATACGTTAAGCGCCCAAGGGTGGTTGCTCCACAAGACTGCTTTTTTTGTCTATCTAATCCGAACATTGAATCACACATGATTGTGGCTATCGGAAAGCACAGTTACCTTGCGACAGCTAAGGGCCCGATGCCACTTCCACAGAGACCTCTTGACTTCTCAGGCCATGCAATCATAATACCTTTTGACCATACACCGACTCTCGATGAACAATCAGAACAGCGGGAAGAAATGGCACAGTTCCAGAAAACAGTTTCAAAGGCCTTCTACGAGAAATCTTTCGCAACGATATTCTTTCAAATTAGTCGCCCTGAAAATGTTCATATCCACACCCAGCTCATTCCTGTTCGTCTCGATGGTGCTCAGGAACAACTTGAGAGATCTTTGAACGAACGTACTAGACAGAATAATGAGAAAGCGAAGTTCAACCAAAATCTCGAGTTTACATCTGACCCGATTGCTGTCAGAGACATTCTCAAAACAAATAACTTCATCAAGTTTGTTCTTTCGATGGGGGATGACATCAAAGTTTATGCGGCTCAACTTGTATCAGAGAAGCCCGTCGATTTACAGTTTCCAAGAAGGGTGATGTCCTTCCATCTCAAATGCCCCAAGCGTACGTATTGGGATAGATGCAAACAAACCAAGGGCCAGGAAACCACGGAGTGCCAAAAGTTTAAGGCTTTTTACAAAGATTACGATTTCACTTCATGAATGCATAAATATAAGTTATAGACAACCACTCTAGGCTCTCTCAAGAGTACACTTAGAGCACCCACACTTGAAAAACCATTCCGACAAAGTGGCTTCTCTACTTTCCAATGTCTCATCCCCTGTAATACCGTAGCTGATGCACAATTCGGTACCGGGTTGAATGTCCTCGGTGGTTTTAAAAATATAGGTATTGAGCTCTCTCAGCTTCTTCACGTTGAAGGCACAAGAATGGTTGAAAAATGATGCAGATGGATAAACCCCAAATCCAAGATACTCCCTCTCTTCATCGTCTGTTGTTGTAGGTGACCATATTCCGAAGGCATTGGTGAGGTTACGACCGATGATGTCACGAACGCTCTGTGGGGTGATGAACTTTTGAAATGACTCGGGACATGTGAGACGGAGAAACTTAAAAATGTTACTGTATGCTAAGGTGAGGTAAGGATACTTCTCTACCTTCTGTGGTTCACTGGACTCCAACGTATGGAAGAGCTCCATTTCTTTGGAGACCTGACTTGACAGCCCTTGGTGCATGGAATGGACAACTGATATGGTATATCTTGCCTCGGCATAATCGTCTTTTGTTAGTTTGGGTAAGAAACGAGCTCTCTTTGTGGGCTTCATTCTGGAAACTTTGTTATCCCATTCCTCAATGTCTTCCCAGGTCTTGCGAATGGCACTTTCGTCAAAGACCTCAGGTACCTCGTAGTCTTCGACATCGCACTCATTCTTCGCAAATGCATCATCAAATGATATAAGTGCAGCTGTGAGTGTTCCGTCATTATCATACTCCACGAACTCAGATTGACATTCTTCGCTGCAGAAGTAGATCTTACTTTGCAACCGATGCTTCATAGACTTGCCATTATGATAAGCAAAACACCACAGGCAAACTTCTTTTTTGAAAACTTTGGCAACCGAACTTCCAACAGGACGGTCAGACTTGAGTATTATCGTACCCTTTGGAATGAAGCTGCTTGCAAAACAACCTCTACCTCCATACACTGTGCGCTTGACGTCGAAGTATGGGCTGATTTGCTGAAGGCATGACTGACTGCTCAAATCCAGGAGTTCATTGCCACTTTCGGAGTCAGAAGCAGTGTCTGTTGTAAGCTCCGTTTCGTTGGTTATCTCAAATACAACATCCTTGATTGAAAGATTTGCACGTGGGTTATGAGGTGCGTATGCTAGCAGACCTGACGTCCTGAATTCTTCTGGATGAGAAGACGGTATGAAATGGGTCATCTCGGGATAAATCTTGGGGCTAATTCACGAAGTTCGTTCTCTTTTGAAAAATTTTGGCTGAGATTGAGACCCGAGGTTCCTGTCTTAACTCATCTCAGCATATGCATACCAACGGTCGCGCATGTCATTGCGATGGACCAGTAACAATGATTCTTCACTCACATATGTCAAATCGTGAATGATCAACAAATTAGAGAAGAAACTATATTCTACGTGATTCATATATAACTTCAAGCAGTTAAATTAGGTGGCTTTGTTGATTGCCTAATGCACGTCACTATTGTTGTACTCTATACTCGCGATCTCGCTAGCGTGGGTGCCCTCCTTGCATTACTATCTAAACTTTTGCCAAATTTGGAAACATCGTTAATCTAAAACAACAACTCAAAATACACAAACTTTTCAGGATTTAAGATCCTTTTGAAGGAAGGTATAACAGATTTGACCATGAAAATAGGGTACACCTCCCCCCGGCGACCAGCGCAATTAATTAAAGCAAAAGTCGGCAAACTTATACCAGATTTTCCATAAGATGCCCTGTTTTCTTGGGTGAAGCGCCAATTCCTCTTTTTCTGCATCTTCTTCGTCATCAATTTCTGCTTTTCCTGTGGTAATGTCCGCTTCCAATGCCGATCTCCATTTTGTCTTCTTCCAGAATTTGCGAACAACGTAGAGCACGCAGAAGAAGAAAGGAGCAAAGTAAGAGGTGAACAAATTGGCAACCGAGAATTCACCTGGGAAGAAAATCCAAAATCCGTTAAACAAGAGGACTAAGAAGTTGAACAAAGCAGCCCAATATGTCAAGTATGGGTACATCCATCTCGTCACCTTGTAGTACTTCTCGTCTGCATGGTCGCAGGGCTGAACCTGGACTATTTTCTTGAATTTGAAGTAACATGCCCACATAACCGTGTAAGTGCAAAGAAGACCTGTTGTTGCCAAATTAATGAACCAGTCTAAGACGACAGCGGACGACTTGGAAACACTCATGTATGAAAGACAGCCAATGGACAAAGAAAAGACAACTGCAACGATTGGACAGCCGTTTTTCAAACAGTATGAGAAGCCCCTTGGCAAGTAGCCCGCCAAAGCAGCAGAGTAAGCACTTCTGGCAGCGCCGTAAGTAAAACCATTTCCACAGGACCAGGCGGATGTCATCACAACCGCATTAACCACGGAATCGAGCCCCTGAACACCGACGGATTTAATTCCAATAACCCAAGGCGAAGCTGCTGCACCATCTTGACCAGCTTCGTGGGCAGCAACAAGATCTGGGTTGATTGAGGAGCACATTGAATTCATGAAGAAAATACCCCCAACGTAGAACAAGAAGATACGGACATATGTTCTTTTCGCAGCCATGGCGATATTCTTTCTAGGCTGAGAGATCTCACCAGAGACCATACCCAACATGTCTGGACCGGCGCATGCAAAAGCAGCATAGATCAAAACGTTCCAGAGACCCAAAAACTTGCCTGTGCTGCCTGCTACGAGGTAGTCTTTCATCAAACCACCCTCGGGCCAATTCCTAAAACCGTAAGCATCACCTTTTGGGTTTCCTCCGCACATGGTAATGAGACCAAAGAACATGAGGCCCACAATGAGAATGACTTTGAGCAAAGATGCAAAGAATTCCACCTCGCCGTACCAATTGACACCAAAGACGTTGAAGAACAAAATGGTCGCCAAGCAGATGGAAATGAAAATCGCTGGAGATGCGTCAGTCCAGTAGCCAGCCACGGACGCAAACGCCACGGATTCCACACAAATGAACATAAGCGTGGTATATAAATAAATCAAAGTGGTTGCAAAACCCAAGGCTGGGTCGAGCCAGCGGGATGCAAAATGCAAAAAGGTGCCCTTTACCGGCAAGTACGAGCACATCTCACCAGTAGCTAGCATAAGGGGCCAGATCATGGTGACGGCCCAAATTAAAAAGCCGAGAAAGAGAGAAAGTGAACCTGAGGTCATGAGAGGTCCTTTCAAGCCCACGTAGAGGCCAGTGCCGATGGACTGACCAATGATCATAAGCGAAACATGACGAGAATTCAACTTACGTTTGGTCTGGCCGTACTTCTCGACATCGATCTTGTCGTTGAAGTCGTCTGCTCCCAGACTGATGTAGTTTCTATTGATGGAGATGACCAGCTCCTCATCGTACGAGATGGTGCCGTTTCCCTTTTTCTCGAACATGGTGCTACAAAAGGAAACCAGCAAAGGGTCCTTTTTTATATCTATAGATAACGGGTTTTTAGAAGCCGCTAAGCGAGCCCAACCGGTATCTATTGTGGGGCCAATCTGGCGCGGAAGTCAGGATATCAAGCAGGCACCGATTGGGGAAAAGCGTTTTGGCAGGGTCTGATCGACAGCATGAGAATGGCACAAAATTCGTGAAGGTCGGCTGGGGCAGCAAACACAATGAATAAAAAAAAGGCCTCCTACCACAAAACAATGGAAATTAAAAATTGGTGATTACAAAACAGCCGTGTAATCAACCTTATCTCTGGAAATCCGCAGGCCTCCAAGAAATACGCACTAGCGCACGCTCAGATAACGCTAAGCGGGATGGGGGCCCAGGGGAATCCAGGTCTGAATCTCGCCAGACTTTCCAAAATCCGGGGCAAATTCTCAAAGCTGGGGTCTGCCGAAGGTGCATTAATTGTATACCCCGGGTTAGCTCATCCCCGGGTATCCTTACGGCATTTACGCTGGGGTCTCACGAAATCGCCTTGCAAATCCATGCACCCCACAAGCAGCGTCGGAGCGGAACTAGCAAGGGCCAAATGCCTTACAGTGAGAAGAACAAAGGACGTGCAGTGTCAAAATCAGGCTTTGTTGCGGGATTGTTTTGTGCCTGATTATTCTGGGCTTTTACCTGCCATTTTGAAATTTTCGTCTGGGCGGCACTGTTCGGAAGTGTCGAGCCGCTGGGGCAAAACGCCTTGCTGGTACTTGCCTGTATCGCCCAATCGGAGAGCGGGGGCCGTTTGGAAACAGTGAGAAAAAATTGGGCGCAGAGATTGAGGAAAAAAAAAAAAAAAACAGCAGGGCTTGTACGTCCACCGCGCACTCAGTGGGGCACAAAAATCCAGCCGTTCCTGTCCTGTTGGAGTGAGACCTCCAGCCCCCCGATGCGCCGTTTTTGTCGGACTTTCGCCGAATCAAATAGGCTTTTTTAAAAAATTTGCCTCCTCGAGAATCCGCCTGACCTGGGGTTAAACGTCCAGCATGCAAACACTAAAGACTATTACGACGAGGAACCGTGACAGCGGGGGCCGACGCAGCCAAGCACTAGGTGCCAAAACGAACAATTGGTGCCAAAGTCGCCGAGAGTGGCCGGAACCTACTCCACTCGAAACCAGTTTGTAAACTTGTAGTTTTTCCCACTCATTTTTTTCTAAAACGGTCCGCGGAAGATGGGGTGGTTTGGGGTCCTGGATGGATAACGGGGCGTTGGCTGCAAATGCCTTAAGTCATCGCGCAGGCCCGTCTTGCAATTTACGAGCAAACAGGACCCCGGGAACCAAGTGGATAAACGGAAACGCCTAGAAAACAGGCAATGTCAGGTTGAAAAAGGAGAACTCGAATGACAAAAACGGAAGTAGAAGCATCACTGCCGGCTCACAGTAACCTGATTTTCTTGTACCCGGTGAACTTATCGGTGCCGCAGACGATGCGCATCTTCCAGACGGGCTTTTCTTGGCTCCCATTGATAAGCGGGGCACCTACTTAAGGCAGACAGGATGCCGTTTTTTTGCAACCACATACTTTCCAGCTTTTAATGAAAGACTACGAGAAACAGGCTGACAGCGACGACGTGCTCTCGCGCCACACGGCCGAGTACAACTTGTCGGTGGCCATGTCCAACCCTCAGCTCAAAGAGCAGACCGACCAGAACCAAAAGTTGAAAAAAGCTTTGGAAGCTAGACATTTGTCTATGATTGCCATCGGTGGTGCCTTGGGTACCGGTTTGTTGATTGGTACCGGTACGGCTTTGAGAACCGGTGGCCCTGCTGCTATTTTCATCACTTACTCTTTGGTTGGTTTCGTTGTTTTCATGGTCCTCAGTGCCTTGGGTGAGGTTGCCACTTTTATTCCCTTGGCTGATGGTTTCGCTGGTTACTGCAGAAGATATGTTGACGAGGCTCTTGGTTTCGCTTGTGGTTGGGTCTACTTGTTCAAATACTTGTTGCTTCCGCCCAACCAGTTGGTGGCCGGTGCTTTGGTGATGCAGTTCTGGGTCGACAAGGATCGTGTGAACCCAGGTGTATGGATCGCCGTGTTTTTGGTTATCATTACTGCCGTCAACGTTCTCGGTGTGCGTTTCTTCGGTGAAATTGAATTTTGGCTCTCCAGTGTTAAAGTGGTCACCTGTCTTGGTTTGATCATTCTTATGCTCTGTGTGGCCTTGGGTGGAAGTCCATCCGGTGACAGACTCGGTTTCAGATACTGGAAAGACCCAGGTGCTTTCAAGGAATACCTGGACAGCTCTAGAGATTTGCACATTGGCGGACCAACTGGCCGTTTCGTCTCTTTCGTTGCCGTCCTTGTGACCACCATTTTCGCATACACTGGTTCTGAGTTGGTTGGTATCACCTTCGCTGAGTGTGCCAGACCAAGAAAGGCCATTCCAAAGGCTATTAAGTTGACCTTCTACCGTATCTTGCTTTTCTACATTTGCTCGGTGTTGCTTTTGGGAATGTGTGTTTCTTCGAGCGATGGCAAGCTTTTGGGTGCCAGCGGAAACACTGCTTCGGCCTCTCCTTTCGTCATTGCCATTACCAACGCTAAGATCAAGGGCTTGGACCACGTCATCAATGCCTGTATTTTGATCTTCGTCATGTCTGCTGCCAACTCCGACATGTACATTTGTTCCAGAACTGTCTACGGTCTTGCTGTGGCTGGCTACGCCCCATACTTCTTCTCCAAGACCAACAAGATGGGTGTCCCCATGTACGGTATTGCCCTTTGCTTTGCATTCTGTTTGTTGGCTTTCATGACCACCTCGTCCTCTGCTGCCGACATCTTCAACCATTTCGTCAATGTGGTGTCGCTTACCGGTTTGATCACCTGGACCTGTATTCTTTTCCTCCACATGCGTTTCATGAAGGCCTTGAAGGTCCAGGGATACAGCAGAAAGAAGGATTTGGCCTTCCGTTCGCCATTCCAGCCTTTCGGTACTTACTTTGCTTTCAGTATGTGCTGCTTCCTTATCCTCGCTAAGAATTTCACAGTCTTCTTGGGTAACGACTTCCCATACGAGACTTTCATTACCGGCTACATTGTGCTTCCTGTCTTCATCATCATGTTGTTCGGCTGGAAGTTCTGGAAGAAGACCCGTTTGATTCCTGTCAACGAGGTCGATTTGGACACCTATAGAGATGTTGTCGATTACGAGGAGGAGCAGTTCCAGGCTAAGGATGCCGAGGACAAGGCCATCAGAGAGGCCCAGGGCAACCCTCGTGACTTCAAGTGGTTCTACGACAAGGTGTTTGGCTGGATCTTCTAAGGTGGATGGTTTCGGCTGTTGGCGGGCCGCGCCCACATGCAACGGTTGCATCGAACGCCGTGCAGACACTGCAAGCGGAAAGGCGGTATGGTCTCTCCCAAAAAAAAGCAGTGGGATGTACATTGTTATGTACGTTTTGGTTTTGCCGTGGAAAACGGTTATCTAAAGTGTGGCTTGCGCCTGTGTGTATTAGTGCTAACGATAATTTATGTGAATCTTTTTCGGTGTCATCTGTATGGCTGGTTTGGGCAGCTTTTGTATTTTTGGCTTTCTCTATACGGTTTTATAAGTAAGGTTTGTGGACTTCAATTGCTCCGGTAGTTTATCTCAGTCCTGGACTTTTCTCGTTTCTTTTCCTTTGTAATTGCTGCTCGGTTGTGCTCTCTGGCTGCGAAATGGGGTGACATTTTAAGTTTGCACTAAAATCTGGGGAACCAGTAAAAATATAAAAATTAGAGCGATCCTAAAAATTGACTCAACCTAAAAAAATTCAACATCCAATCTATTCGTTCATTAAATGGTGCCCGGTAGTATCTAATTGCCCACAAAAGAACAGCTCGGAGGAAGTATACGTGTCTCCGCTGAGGACTGCTTGAGCTCCGACGCAGCACACTCCAACAAGCCAGTATCTACTACCAGTCCCAGTGCCTCTACACCATATCTATAGCTGATTTTGCATTGTGAAGTTTTATGCGAGAGTTTTCGATTATACCTCGTTCTGGAAAAAAGTACCCGGAGCCTCGAAAAAGGGGCTGCACAGGGTCCTGGAGAGCTCGAGGCGCTTCTTGGTAGTAACAGGCCTTGATTTTGGAAAATCCTGAATGCCTTTTTGTAGAGGCCAAATTTGTGCCTTCAGATGCTCTATATCCCTGTTCTCAAATGCAGCCGTTCAATGGCCTTTTTTCACATTCTGGACAACATTTTTCAGTCCCTTAACACTACAATAGCCAGACAGAAAAAACGCATTGCCCGGTACACCGAGCATGAGGATGAGCCACGCAACATTGAAACTGAAACCCGAAAACACCGTATAATCAGTCACCATCTAAAATCTTTTGATTACAAGTAATTCAGAAATGTAGAACATCCGGAAACCCTGGATTTTAAAACCGGGGTCACGTGCACAGAAACAAATCAATCTTCAGGCACCTTCGCGATATAGCGAAATCAAAAAGCTAGTTAACCTCACCCTCAGAACGTCCCACCCCTTGCTACAACTCGAAAACAAGCGTTGTTTCAACCACACCCTTAGTGTACTATAGTCCAGCACCCAGGGTCCAATGAATTCGACCAGTTTAGCTACCAATTCCTTGGGCACCTCCTCCCTCAACCACGCCCTAAGGTCTCAGCCTTCGGTGGCATCTGGTGTTGGCGATGTCTCCCCGGTAGACGAATCGGAGCAACTTCAAGGAGGTCTGCACCACAATAATCATGTCAATAGCCACGGCAGCCACGCCCAACAAAACCACCACATGCACCTTCCGCATCACCACAACCCCCAGTACGGTGCCATGAACCAGCTTATGCCTCTACAAGAGAACTTCAGCAAGATTAATGACAACGTCGCCAAATTGGAGAATGATGTGGCCACACTCAGCCAGGAGCTCGCGTACTTCCGCCACGTCATGGACTTCCAGAATCTGAAAATTGAAAAGTTGACCCTGCTATTATCCGACGTGCTACA